TTTTCGCTGCATACTTTCTAAGCCAAAAAAACATGCCGCTCTTTCTTACTCTTTCTCACATTATTGTGGTCGTGTGAATGTGTTTTTTGTATACCCTTGCAAATAGTAACGAACTGAAAATAGCATCTACAACGTTATAATACACTTTATATGTTCTTGTTCAGCATCCGTCCAGTCATTCAATAAACATTACACAAAACATGAGTGTTTACTTTATATCTATTATAGATAATAGTTAATTGAAGACATATGCAATTGAATTACAATCTCCAAGGGTATGTTATTTTTGGAGTGCTGAATATCGCTTTTCCGTCTTGTATGTGCTTTTGCATGTGTGTGTGTGTGTGTGTGTGAATTACCACATCCACATTGTGAGTGTTTACGCCTTATAAAACGCAACATTTGCAGCCATGCAGCAAAAATAGCATTAGAATCGCTGCCAGGCTGGCATTTGGCAACGACACAAACTTGCTATTACCCTAACCCCCCAAAGAAGTCGTTCGGGGAAGCTGTGGCAGCCACAAGCTCCTCACCAAAATTCGCACTTGGTGTATAAAAAAACATGAGAGTTACGCTTTGTTTGACTAAAATTTATGTTGATGTTTCTTTTGCGACTTGCATCTATGTTTTGCTTTTGTATTTTTTGGCAACGACTCGCAGACACTGCGACGCATGACTCATCAGCAGAAACAACTCTGGTCTGCCCGTCAGTCTAATCTGTCTGTTTGTCTCTCTGTCTGCCGTTTGTAAAAAAATGTTTTAATTTCTTGCGTAGATTTTTGCACTATTATCATACAGTCAGGCACAATTCACATAATTCAGAGGCACTCCGCCGTTTGTTCAGGCTATTAAATCCATGTTTAACTTGCTTGCCATCCATATAATTATATATATATATATATATATATTGTATATTAGTGCATTTGGTATAAGTAGTCGGAGTATCTTACTCATTTTTATAGGGCTTGTTAAAATTTATATGCATTGAGTATTTTTTATGTTTGCGATTCATTATGCCATGTTGTATTTTATAGCCAGAGCTTCACTAACAATGTATCAAGTTGGATTTTTACGCTGTAGTTTTAGCATATGCCTATCAAAATTGATAGCGCTCTGGGGTATTTTATGCGTTTTATGCAAAGTAGCCACAAAGTGTCGACTGTATCTTTGTATTTCACAGATAATATTTTTTTATGATTTTATCAATGTGATTGCAAAACAGATGAGAAATAATTTGCAGTCTTTTTTTTTTATATATATAACATTTATATGTTTACTCGAACTTTTTGGAAAATGAGTGAATAAAAATGAAGTTATCATTTTGAAATAATCTGAACTATTCGCTTTGTTTCAAAGAAATGTTTATAATTATATGTTTGTAACTTCATTTGTTGCCAAATATTTACAAATATATTTATAGTTTATTTTAATTATGATATTTTTAACTTTCATAGACATTCATTTAATGGAATATAGCAACATTAAATTCAGAACTTATATTCAAGAATTCCATATTTTATTGCTGTATTTCCTATATTATTATATTTTTTTATCTATTATTTTCCTTCAATTAATTTCATAATTGTTGCGAAGTAGCTTGTAAATTTTCCAGTTTGCTTAGACGCCTGACAACAATTTTAGAAATGTACAAAAATAAATCTTGGCTTGTGAAATATATGTCAGTATATACTCAGTCATCAGGTTTACTTCATTTTCATTTTCATTCTCTAAACTGTGGGCTGTCTAAAATGCCAACTTTGGCTAACCAAATGAAAAAACTTAGATATACTACCAACTATATAGCAACTACAAACAGATCCAAGTGCAAATAAAGTGGTATTTTTACAACATTTCGCAAAGCTCAGTCAAACTGACTTGTGGGTCTACCACACACACACATACACACACACACGAACACATATACCACAGACATTTTCCACACACAACACACGCACACAAGCTCACATTTAAAGTCATAAATTTTTATTTGTATGATGATGACTTAAGTTCTACGTGCGTTACAACGACTCAACTTACACCTGCGCACACACGAACACTCACCTACACATTTGTAAGCTGCCTGCTGGCTTTAGTTAAGTGCATGATTATGCTTTTAGTGGCATGTTGAGGTTTTTGTCAGTCTGACTCTCCCAGCTTTTTACCTACCTCAAGCTTACCCTGGCCATTTTCTTTTGATTGCAATACTTGAAACTGACTTGACTATGTGTTGAACAGCTGTTCCTCTTCCATATTACCCCTGCCCCAGCCCATTCGTGCGTTAATAGAAAATTCTCTTTTTGGGTTTTTGCCTTCGCCAAAGATGCACTGACTTCAATGCTGCTTTGGATTTTCAATACTTTTTCTTTGCTCCTCGAAAATTCAAAAAGGAGGTCGGTTGGAGAAGGCTTTATCAAATTTTCATTATAAACATTTCGTGAATTTTTTAAATTTTATAAGAGGAAGAAAGAATTGTAGGTCAAATTGTAGGAAAAAGACGGCTGAAAACTTTTGCCAAGCTTTGTGCTTGCGTAAATAAATACTTTCGATTAAAACGAAAATATTAATCATGAAAAATAATGGCAAAATTATATTGCATACAAAAAACAATTGATTAATATTATTTCTGTTTTTTTGGTCTTGTTATGACAACGAATTGAATTCATTAAATTCTTACTTTATTATAAGATTTCTGTGTTCCTTAAGTACCTCTGTCCATATATATCTACATAAAATCACATATGCACTGTAACTAAAAGCATTACGGTCACAGGACAACATATTTAATTAAATATTCCTTAAATGAAATCAATTGGGCACGCACTTAATGTAGCTGACAATATGCATAAAGCAAACTTAAAGTTGATTTTAACAGGGATTCTTTCGATTATGTGAGTCTGGATTTTTCTACTACCTGCGACGACGTCTACTCGAAAGAAAACCGACGCGAATTCAGTTGGGGAAGAAGAATATGAGAAACTACTGCGGAAAGCCGCTTGCGAGCTACTTTTCAAGTTAAAGTTATTATCCTGGGGACTGTGTTGAGGAGGCAGCAGCCACTTGCAGACTGGCCCGACTCTTGAATAAATTTGAAATCTGCTGGCTGACAGCGAGGACAACAACGACAATCAGCATTATGAATATGTAGCTACATCAACTTAACTTGATGTGTGCCTCATTGTTCATGTCGTTGTTGTTGTTAGGCGTCGCCCAAGCAAGTTGCTTGAACTTTAAAAGCCGCTTTACTTTTATAAATACTCAACTTTCGCTTGAGCAAAAACTTTTCACCAACAGTGTGCTCTATCCAAAGAAGTGAAAAAGACGAAAATTCGCATAGAAGGACGAAATTTGCCTTACTGCTTTCCCATTTTCTTTTCTTCCGTTAAATGCTTTTAGCCGCTTTGTCAGAAACTTGACTGATACGCTTGAAGGGCTCGATGATACTGTTTTGGTTGTTGTTTTAGTATTTGCTTTTCTTTCTTTTTTTGGTTGTTGTTATTTTGGTAGATATAATGGCAGAAGTAATGCAAATAATTAAGCACTAAACAGCTGATAACAAATCATCAATTAAATAGAACCAATTAAATATAATGCTCGGGGCCCTGAGAAATAATCAAAAAGAAAAGTGCGCTAATCAGGGAAATGCGCTCAGAGGAAGTGCGACAAAAGAAGTGGCCAAAATACGAAGTGGCCCAATTTTTCTCTGTGGTCAACCGCCATTAACGTTTATTACACCCACAAATCGCCAGCAATGGAGCCGCAACACAAAAAGCAAAGAGCAACAAACAGAAAATAAAACAAAAGTGAAAAAAAAAACAATGAGCAAAAAATATAATTAAAAATAAGCATTACGCAACGCCAGACAAAGAAAAGCAAACAAATATAAATAAAAGAAAGACGAAGAAATGTGTAATAAAAAGGTGCAAATTGCATTGGTGTGGGGGAGTCCCCCTACACATCCGGCCTGCAGAAGCATTTTAGGCGCCTAATTGAGCGTTTTAGTTATGCTAATTGTAGGGGTCGCCTCTGCAGGCTCCTCCACTTATCCCACCCGCAACTACTATGCCATCTCAGTGCTATGGCAGCTCATCTTTATTGTTGTCATTTCTTATAAGTATTCCGAGTCCGGTCCACGCTTTGTCCAACCCATGAGAACGTTAATGGGACACCATTGGGGCGTGAGTTCCGAGTTCTTGGAATGTAAATAATTAATTATGTAATTATGTGTAGCAGCAACATAAGAAATGTATACTATGTGATACATTGGATTACAGTGGGTCTACATAAAACGTGCAATGATTTACAACTACAAATTTGAATATTTTGTATGTGGCTAAGAAAATCGGATAATGTTTTTAGTTTCAATATTCAAAGAAATTATTTGATTAAATATTTTTTTCATTTAAAATCTTTTGTTTTAATTTCAATAATTAAAATAAAAATATTAATCAGTTAACAAAATGCCAAGAATAAGATTAAATCCTCACTTTAAACTCTAATTAGAAGTAAGAAAAAAATAGCTATGAAACTTTCATCAAGTTTATTGAGCTTAAGACTTGAGTAAAGCCAACCATCTGAAAACTCCAAAAGAAATAAAATATTTTTAATACTTACTTTTAATTCCAAATCTAATTAAAAATCATTTTATTGTTTTTTTTTTCCTTTCGTTCGCTTGTTTTATTTTTGATTATCTACCGTAAATACTTATCAGTTATACCATTCACGTTTTTCATTTATTTTATATACAATTATATATATTCTTTTACATATATAGGTGTATTTATATACTTATAAATTAATTGCTTATCTTCGTTTTATTTTCTTTTTTCTCGTTTTGTTGGAATTACAAATAGGCATAATACATATACGACTATATGTATATATATAACTTTATATGGTACATATAAGTATCAATTATTTATATGTAAGTATGTATAAATAATATTGACTTTAGATATATAAATATATATAGATATATTTATATGTATATAAATTGTAGAGAAACAAAGTGAAAAGCTTAGCACAACATTTTCTTTAATTCGTCTTCGTTTCGAGCTATCATAAATTGTGTTAACCAAAAATTTAACCGGTTCGCAAGTGGTTATCTTAGGAGTTTAGGCAAGAATGTAATTAGTGTTTGGCTCCGCTTCTAAAAAAAATAATCCATTTGCTTATCGAAACCTAACGAAAGGCTGTCATTCTGCATTCTTAAACAAAAATGTTGATGCATTTCCTTGTTGATTTTGCCCGGTTAGCTCAATTTTAGTTGTTTTGTTATTTTGTGTTAAATGCATTCGAAGTTACTTTGAGCTAGCTGAAACTGGAGTCCGTGTATATGTAGGTGTAAATATTTAAGATGCATTTAGCAGTTGCTTGCTGTTGCCTAGGGCTGAAGCCTACTATGCTACTGCTGCGAGTCCATCTCCTGCTGCTACCGTTGCTGCTACTGTTTAAACCTCCCTGAAGTGTGGCACAAGAGTCGTGTGACAATTGAATCATGTTAATTGCCTGCTACATCTGCTGCATTCTTTGCTGCTGGTGCAAGTGCAGCTCCTGCAGTTGGGCACCCGCAGGCGTTGTCTTTGCTTCTGCTGGACTACTACTGCCTCTGCCCGCATCGGCCGATTCTTTGTAATCGGTGCCAGCTGCGATCCTAATTGCCTGCCCAGCGACCAGCTGAGCAGCGCCAGAAGCGTTGCAGTCGCAGTTGCACCACCCACAGTCACACTTTGACTGCTGGCCGAGCTGACACCACGCCAGGCGGCACCACCATCCTCTAAACCATCGGCGCCGTCATCTTCTTCGCCTGAGGGTACAAAATGAAACAGAAAGTCTAGCGAGAAATAGAGAAATGCAGGCCATATAATTTTTCGTTGCTGTTCTTGTTGTTGTTGTTGCTTTCTATTGTCTACGTGACTGTGTATGTGAATGCTAATTGGCTGCCAAAACTTACCCTGCAGCTGCGTCAGGTAACTGTTCTTCTTGCTATGGAATTGCTCGTCCTCGTGAAGTGTGTACTGGTCATATATCTCGTCGGCTCCCACGCGATTCCCGCTCGCCCCACTGCTGCCGTATTTGCCAAAGGGATCCGCCTCCAATATGGTCTTCTCCGTCGTCTTCCAGTACACATCATGTAGCTGGGCGCTGCAGCGTAGCTATAATTGAGAACACAAAGCATATATCGAGTTCAGTTATTGACAAGTGTTTTTCTTGTTAACTCACTTTCAGTTTGCCATTGTCAAAGTGCTGATCGGTCACCACGAAATGAATGCCCACAATTGAAGTTTCCATATCGTTGCGAATATCACGCAGTATCTTATGATGTCGCACATGTGAGGGATTCACCTAAAAATTACATATTAGACAATTAGACGAGTAACTCAACAATCTTATATTTAAACTCAAATTGCCAAAGATATACTTCGGAAATATATACAAAATCCATTTTATATTGAAAACAGGATCTAAAATATCACTTATTTAGTTTGTTCACACATTTTAGAATCTTAATAAAGATTATTTTTCTTTGATAAGCAAGTTAGCCAATATTTAATTCTTATGAATGGAAAGTCAGATATTGAGCACAGCTAGCTAAATAATTTGCTTACGCACACAAATACACGTCGCACGTCGACTGTTGAGGCAATTTGAGCTTCAATCCTTGATGACGCATAATAGCGGAAGCAACAACAACAGCGACGAGAAAGAACGGAAATGGTAGCAGCAAATCAAAGTACAACCCCAGCCACACACAGGCAAACCCAGATTTGGCTGCTAAAAAGGCGCTCAACGTGCAAATTCGTGGATAAAGATTGAATTGCTTTGCTTTTTGGGTTCGACTTTGTCGATTGATTGCAAAATGCAAATCTTGTATTTTCCTCCTTTCTGTTCTGTAGCCTTTTTGTTTACTTTTGAACAATAAACACAAAAGCAATTAAATAAAATAAAAACACATGTGCATGCACTGAGAAAAACAACAAGTACATTATCCATGGAGGAATATATGTTCGAAAATATGCAGCAGACGATAGAAATATTGAATTGATTTATTGTTACACTCTGCTGTATTTATTCGTCAATCGATTGTGTTATTTGTTTGTGATGAAACTAATCGAATCTGATCTCAACATAATGTGCCACAACTATCTGACAAACAGTCACTTCATTATGCGCAGATATTCAGCAGACTCCGATGCAATACGCACAAAACAAAAAAAAAGTAAAACATTGCATAAATTTGAGCACACCAAATGCTAAATTAGTTGGGCAGAACCAAAAACCAAACAAAAATAGAAATGGGCGTAACTAAAAATGTTGTGCGAAACTGTTGGCAGCTGAAGAGTTTTCCAATGGCGTTTCACACATTTTCATGTCTAGTGCTTCCATAATACTGCGGTAAGCTATGAGAGCTCAAAAGTGGGCGTAATGCAGGGGGCGTGACATAACACACACTGCGCTGATCCGAGTGCTGCATGCGTGGGTGATTGTGTCTGTGGGGGTCTGTGGGTGTGGGTGTGTGTGTGTGTGTGTATATGGCTGGTAATTACAGAGCTCGTTCGCCACAAACACACGCATAAATTACACACAGATGACGCTTAAAAACAAGAAAATTGTGTTTGCATAATTTGCGACTCACCTCTTCATTATTCACCGTCCATGTGAGATTGGCCGCCGGTCGCGAGTGTCGCGATGTGCAATTGCCCCGCAATATGTCGCCGACCCGATATCGTGGCCGAATTCCGTTTATGAATGGCGCATTGTGCGGCGTCTCTGTAAATGCAACGAAAGATATAAATGTGAGTTGACTCGCTCCACTCTGTTATTCCTGTCATTCTCTACTCTGTTCTATCCCACCCTGCCATATACAATTGTCACTGTAGCTTTATGCACCACACACTATTCACTGCCCCGGGACTTTCATGTCTGGCGAATTTGAAGGCCTACCATAACGTTAATGTTTTTATTTTTTTGGTTACATGTCTGTGTGTTTGTATGTTGCTTTTTTTTTGTTGGTTGCCTGTGTGAATATGGACTTCGACATTGTGTGTGATGTCAGTCCAGGTCTGATCCCTGCGGTTTCGCAGTCTATAATTGAAATGCTTTTGTATGGCCTACGCGTACGGTAGATAAATGGTACACAGATATAATTGTCTGACGAGCTTCAGTTGTGCAAAATGGCAGAATGTGTTTCTTATTTAAGAATTGCAGCAATACCTTTGCCAACTTCGAATCGACCTTAAAATGGCTAAATAGTTGATGAGTGTCACACTTATATTACTAAGATAGTATCAGGGCAAGCCCGTGTGTAATTTCAGATATTCTAATGACTTAATCGGCTAAGATACATTTTATAATTAGTACATTAACATGACTTAACCACTTAAACAAAACCACTTTTAATTGTTTAGTATCTGTTATCAGTGTAATTACGTTCAATCCGTTGAGTGTAATTTGAATAGGGCTTTAGACAGTAAACAATTTGGAAATATAAATATGTATGTGAACTAAAAGTGCAATGCAGCTCCACAAAGATATACCCTATGAGTATACATACATCCGGACAAATCAACGGCAGAATCGACTGGGTTTGTTGATTCTGATCAGGAATCTCTCAGTTTCATTCTTATGCCCAACTTTTATGAAGAGCCAATTTAATATTCGATTCAATTCACATTTCCTTGTATCAGATGCGTAAAGTGTCTCATGAATAACATTTGGTTCAGTCAATGCAAAAACAAAAAAAAAACTTTAAAAAATTCTTTCTTATGTTTTTTTTTTTCCTGGCATGGGAGAGTCCTGCGAGGGTATATATAAGTTAGGGCTGAACATAAACTTGTGGCAAGCCAAACATAAATACGAGAGGCAATTGTCAAACTCCATGCAAGGCTGTCATATGCGAACAGGACTAAGTTCAATGGGGCAGGCCAAAAGACCTGGACTTGAGCTGATGTCAAGAGTCAGGGGTCAGAGAGCAAACGCTTGCCAGACAGCAGAGCTGACATTAAATGTGGGCGCTGTGTGTGGGAGTGACTTAAAAATAAACTCCAAGTTCGAATGTGCGGCAGTCGAGCAGACAAAATACAAACAAATTTGCCGGCTCCAGATGAAGATGAAGATATTTAAGCAGACAAACAAAATAAAATAAAAAAAACTCTAGCAAAACGTTTGCGATGGTCAATAAACTTTCAGCTACAAGTGTAAATGTGTGTATTTGTGTGTATGTGTGTGTGTGTGTGTGTGTGTGTGTGGATGATTGGCTTACGAGCTTTGCCAAAGTGAGGCAACTCAAATTGGCTGCTCGCCTGTCCCAGCAAAACTTTGGTCGTGTCAATTTCATGTTTATATGGCCACCGCAGCTTGTGTGCGTTTCAGATATATTTGGTTGTGGCAATCGGAAGCAAACCACAACGCAGCCCAATCACACTGGTGCGCTGGATTATCTTGTTTTCTTATTTTATACCGAAATTGATAAACATTTGTGGTGTGCATCATTAAATGATGTGCATACATCTTGCCAAGGCTCTTATCCTTATAGTTGTCACCCAACCAAGCATATTAGGACATAATTTCAATGGCTAATATATTGACATGTATTTTGCATAGATAAATTATGAGAACAATATATTTTTGGTCTACTTTCAGACGGTTAAAAGACAAAAAAGAACCTGCCAATCCTTTATAACTTCTTATTGCACAAAAATTTTAATTAATATAAAAAATTGTAAATTTGTTAACATTATTGTATTCCATTCAAGAGCCACAATTCGGCTTATACCATTAAATGTATCCTTGTGTCAACATTTTTTATCATTTGTGCTTTTGTGTGTATTTTTACTTACCAATAACTTCCAATTCGGCGGCCGCTATTAATGTATGAAATGAGGGCGCATCCGCCGATACTTCGCAGCTGTATTTACCGGATGTTTGCATTGTTACCGCATCGAGCACCACTTGGCTCTCATTGGAGGACGAGCGCTGCGAAGAGGGAGAGGGAGAGAGAGAGAGAGAAAGAGAGTTGTGAACACACGGGCCAAAGTGGCGAATGAGAATGGGAAGTGCTTGATATAAAAGCGAAATAAATTTGTTTAAAAATATACAATATATATAAGTAAATACCCATATACATATATATATATATAGACTGTGTGTGCGCTTGGTATATGAAAAATTGCATGACATACGTATCTCGTGGATTGCTTACGGCCTCGTGTTGAGCTTCCTCAATTATTGAGCAGGCGGGCAACATAAAATAAACTACTACGAATGTGGCAGCAAAATTGTTGCAACTGGTCAACTTTATGCGGATCTCAACGAATGTTTGTACCATACTTTTTTTTACATCCCGAAAGCTTCTGAGTCTGGCATGTATTTTGTTTTTTATATTTGTGTGGAATAAGGCTGGGCTGGCATATGCGCTTGCAAAATCATCAGCGAGTTAAATAATAAAACTGTCGGTATGTCATTTTTGTCAAATGTTTCTTTTACTTTTTCATATTAATTTTTTCACAGTGAGAAAAGTAAAATGCGGAATGATGAAAGGTGTTGCGAAAAGCTAAATGAATTATTAAATATTTTATTTGTTGCCTGTTGAAAATTTTAATATAAAAAAATGTCCAGACTTTCATATTGGCATATTAAAATCCCAGTGGAGCACTCTATTGACAAGCTTTGACAACTGAATTTCATATTATTAAATACTGAAAAACTCTATGAAACAGTAGAACACTGCTAAACGGATTTCAGTTCCATAAAATTCACACAATTCTTAGCAGTGCTGACAATCCGGTCGTGTTTTAAAATAAATTGTTTTTCTAAATATTGGCAATGTTTTTCTTTGAAAACAAACATTTCCATTTGCGACTCGTATTTATTTTTTTTCGTTTTTCGTATTGCTGCTGCCTCATGAAATGGGAATGGAAATACAAATAAATAAATATTCACATGTACTTCTTCATATGCGTGAATAATTTCAAAAATTGTTTAAAAAAAAGTTTAAAATGCCAATATTTGTTGAAAAATATTGCCTGCACATCGCCAATCTACCTAACCAAACCAAACCATATCAAACCGAAGCGAACCGAAAACTAAATTGCAAAAACAAAATTCAAGAGTTATAAAAAAGGATGCGCCACGAAAATACGTTTTGTTTTCCGGCTGGTAACTGCCGTCAAGCGGAAGTTAAAAACCGTGTTTTGATTTGATTGTGCATTGAAATGTTGTGGGTCTGTCGAACTATGCCCTCAACCCACAGCTTTGCCCTCAATCCTGCCTTTCGGTTAAGTGAAGCATTTCACTGGTTGCGATGCGCTCAAAATGCAAATGTTTCACATTGTTGAGTTCGCGCTTAGTTTAATTTATTTCGATTTTTTATTGGCTGGCAATAAAAAGGGTCTCTAAAAGTGGCAATGAACAAACAAACGGTTAAGAAACTTAAATTCTAGCTGGAAATACGAATTTTAAACAATTTTGTATGCTTCTTTAACATATTCAAAACAATTGCGATTTAAATCTTAATTTGTTTATCTTTATACTTAAATCAAAACAATTATTACAAATCTATCAATGCATTTAAGGTAGGTTCACAGCTTAATTTAATTAATTAATATGTTAGGATTTATTTTGTCTTTATCTCTGATAAAAAATAACAAACATCGCAGCTAAAATATAACTAAGTGTTATTCTAGTAAACGAAATTATGTGCATATTTTACCAGAATTTATAAATTTTGTTTGATTTACGTTATACACGTTGAGTTCCAGTTTAATATCAGGTTATACTAATGAACTTACAATTAGGCCAACTTACCCTTACTTTAACGCCTGGAAAATGAAAGACCTTCATAGGTGGTGTTTCCTTCGGTGTAAACCTGTAGAACTCTCTTCTGCCCTTATACCATTTCACTGAATACAAACTGTCATCCTCGATGTCGTAAAAGCATTTAAGCATCGCCTTCTCCCCTCGTCTAACCGCATGTGGCACTCGCACTCGCACATCCCGCAGAGCACTGATTTCTGCGAGAAAAAAAGTGGGAGAATCATTAACATAAATTGCTATTTATATAAATCTATTTGCGGACAGCATATCAAATGAACCTAAGCTAACAAACACTTCAAAAAGGTTTTATTAAAAGAAGCGCATTATAAAGAATTGTATATTTCTCATATTTATTATTATTTTTTATATGCCCTGAATCCATTAAAATGGGTAAAAATGGTATAATGTTTCTGTGCCACTGTGCAGTAGAAAGGAAGCATTTCCAACCTTATAAGGCATATTATTCTTAATCAGGATCAACAGCCGATCTCAGGGACTATAATATTTAGAGATTTAAAATTTAGAATATAGGTTTGCGTATACAACGCCTAGATTAAGTTTGCATTATATTATCGATAACGGCCTCCGTTTCTCGATTGTTGATATCTTTCTTTGCGCGTTAATATATCATAAGAAATGATAACATTTTTATTTTTGTTGTACAAACTGCTTATAGGGAAATTTGCCACGAATTAAAATATATTTAACAGCTGGGTTTAGGGTATATCGTAGTCGAGCTCAATCGAGCACAGCATTCTTACTTTTTTTTTATTAACAATTTGCATTTTATTATCAATGTTGTTTTTATTTTACGGCTTTGTGAATTATTTATGATTTTCATTTTATATTTTATTTTTGTGCTTTATTATATAAATCCCAACAGCATTTTATGGACTTCCGCAAATCCCAAAACACGTCTGCCGATGGCTTGGGGTATGTGTATGCCCTGCAGCCAAAGTTGTTGTTCATTATGTTTTGTTTAACCATTTTGGGCTTTAGTCATAATTCTTAACTCTTTTAAAAGTTTCATTGTACGTGCATGTGTTTATCATTTATTGAACGTCACGCATTGCATAACTTTTTTTTTTATATAATTCAGTCTACTCAAGTATTTCCATTGCTTTTGGCATTTTTCGCCAGGCAGCATAGACAACATAATATAATTTATATAACATATATATTATATTTATATGCGCTTTGTCTGCTGCTGACATTCGTACACATGTCGCCGCTTGTTTATTGTCAGCGCATTTTCAGGCCATCTATTCAACTGCCTGTCGCTACATTATAAATCAGCATATAACAAGTAGCCACCCTTCTGCCGCCACTCAGCAGTTTACCTCTTTGGTTTATTGCCGGCGCGTCATAAAATATTCATTCAAAAATTATTTTTGATTTGTGTCTGATTAAGTGTAATGAGATTAAAAAATAACACCGTCACTGTTTACGTTCATAAAATCTTGTTATTAAATTCAAAATCGTACAATTGGGATTTCCTTTTTTTAACACAATCAAATATTGTCATTAAAATATGTATGTTATTGTGATTTTTAATATTTACTTTTAATATATTTCCTTCAATCATTTGTGTACATTAATCTGTAGCTACACATTATTCAGTAGATATACATAATTCTGTTGAATTACCCCTTTTATTGATTTGTGCGATAATAAACTATATTTAGTTTCAAACAATGTTTGTATAAGCTTTCAATAACTTAACAATTCACTTTCTAACTTTTGTTTTAAGCACCTATAAAACCACTTTGTTCTCTTTTCTAATTCCTGTCATTTAATACCACTTTACACATCCCCCTTCTATGTCGTCCTTTGCTCCTTAACAGCAAATCGTCAATGCTGTAAAATTACGGCAGCAAATGAATGTCCAAACAGGCAACACCCGCATTATACAAGTTAGGCGAAAGGATTCATGGTGGTTGTCTGTGTGTGTGTGTGTCTGTGTAAGGGTGTTTGGTTGGGTGTAACCCTTACAAATCCCATAAAATAACTGTAATTGCAAAGTTTTTGCTACTAGACACGAACGCACGCCTACAACAACAGCAAAAACAACAACCAAAACAAAAGCAAAGGCAACATAACCAGTAACAGCAACAGCCGGAACAATGCACATGCAACTCGTCCATTTGTCTGCAACTCCCAATTGCAAGAGTTGCGGCTCATGGAAGCCCTCTTTTCGTCCTTGTCTTCGTCCACGTCGTCGTCCTCGTCCTCGTGGTCGTCCTCGTCGTCGTCCTCATCCTCGTATTCGTCGTTGTCGGTGGCACTGGCAACGTGTGCAATAAATATGAATAACGAGCATAACGTGAGTGGCACACAAAGTAAAAAGCAGTCCACGTAGAGAGACAGAGACGGAGACAGAGAGAGAGACAAACTCTGGCAGTGAAATGGCAAGTCTCAGCTCATGTCCTTGTCGAGGCGACACACAGCGGCAAATATTTGACTTGTGCTGCGCATAGGGGGCGTCAGATTCGAAAGGGGCTAAGCACAGAACCTATGACTTCTTTTATTTAATCCTTGCTTATGCAACATGCATGCAATACATTCTATGCAGCCCTTCTCCGAGAGACAAGCAAATGTCCAGCAAAGATTGTGATTTACACTCGCATCACACAACCCGCAAAGTATCCAAGTGCTAAACCAGCTAATAGATTGGCTAGAGAACTTCAACTGAAAGTTCGGATCGAAACCAGAATACATATACTAGCTACTGGGAGGCATAACTTTAGATTACTCGGAACCAAGTTAGGAGATTGTTTTTAAGGACGTGTTGTTAGTTTAAGATAGAAATCTGAGAAAAAGTAGATTTTTTGTACGTTTCTTTAAACTTTAAATAAGATTTGCATAAGTTTTTATTTCTATAATCAAAATAGCCAATAACCTATCTTTTAATTTAATGCTGCAAATCTTTATGGCATAACTGAAACATCTTTCTCTCTTATTTTTGTATGCAATACATTTTAATTCATTTTGCACTCGTTTCTTAAATGCTTATCCCCTGAAACGCAATTTGTCGATCTAAAAAATATTTCACACATATGGCTCACTCTCTCTCTCTCTCTCTCTGTCCCTCTGTTTCCCTTTGTTTTTCTCTCCCTCCCTCCATCGCTGCTAAGCATATTTTAATTAATATTTTCAAACTGAAAGATAACTAACCCTCCTACTAAAATTATGACTTATGTTCTCTATGATATTTGAAGTCAGCTTATATTCGTCATGCTAATTTAAACTTCAAACACTAAATAAACAAGCATCACCGAAAGTAGAACTAACTTGACCTGGACCCAAGACCAGCCACATACTTATTCTCTATTCCTACTCCTCTTTCTCAATATGGGTTAGTTTGGCCCACAGCTGCCACATAATTTCGTTCCACATGAACTCTTTAGAAGCAACATTTGCCTCACTGACCACACAGGTTAGTCCAGGAACTTGTGTAGAAACAGAAAAACTAAAATAAAATAAAATTAAAATATATAAAATGTTTAATAAAAAATTGTACAAAACTTCAAGTTTTCAAAGCGAGGCTCTTTACCAAAAACTTTCGACGTGGTAAGCTTATGAACTTAGCTTAGATTGTTACACAACATCAAGTTTCACTTGGGCAACAGTTGCTGCCAGGATATGGCATTTAAATTTTCTATTAGCAGGTATGCAGGTATGCAGGCAGCCTTCCAACTGAAACGCCATCGAACGCAACAGACTGAGCAGGTGCAATCCCAAAAACTATGGCAAATTTTTGTGGGCTCTGTGTGAACTGTGGTGGTTCTTATCGGCAGCTGCCATTTTACACTTGTAGGGGTTAACTTTAGCGTCTGGTGCTCTACTGGCGCCAAATATATCATAATTTGTCGAGACATTCGAGCCATTAAAAATGTAAAAGCGCATCAAAGTGTAACTCAATGCGGGCTCTTCTGCTGCTGTTGCTGCTGTTGCTGCTGCTGCTGCTGCTGCTGCTGTGAACTGCCCCCCTATAAAATGACAAAGCGTTCCAACACTATTAGTGTCAGGGTGACAGCCGCATACTTTGTGGACCAGTCATTATTCAATCAGATTCGGCAGTCGCCTGGCCGATGAACAGTAATCGCTAGAGTTGAGCACATCCGAGTTAAATACGATGAATATGGAACTCAGAATTAAACTAAGACAACTTATGAAATAGGATATAATTAATAGAATACAATCCATTCAAAAATTAATATCAGCGCAATATTTTTTTTAAAAGGGAATAATTAATAAAAATAAAAAATAGTCGGATTGTATAATATTAAAGTAGCACAAGAAATTAATTAAAAGCATTTTCCCAAATTAAAATTACTATTTATTATTGCATATATGTGTATGGACATTACCAGAAACTCCTTATATGTAATTTATGTACATTTTAAAGCAGCATATTGAAAAGCACATTCCACGCATCTCTCACATCTCTAGGAACCACGCAACCAACGCTGATCCTGCTGCTGCTGCTGCTGACTCACTGACTTTATCAGGGACGCTAACCGGGCCACCCCACCGACCCCGTAGCCAAGCGACTATTTACTCAAGCAGACTTGCCGCCGTCGCGTCGGGGATGCTTCTGACCGACTGTAAGGGTGGGGTTTAGGGTGATGTCGGTTGCGAGGGTGACTGAAAAATTGTTGACAATTTTTGCTTAATGCATTTGGATGTCAGTTTTTTTTTCGGTACCTACGACTGCGAGTCTGACTGTAGCTTGCTTTCATGCGCTTTCTCCACAGTTTGTTTGCACTGCACATACACAAAAATGTACCCACACTCACACTCACATTTCACACGCATAGCGCTTTCCATTCATTTCATGCATTTTTAGCGCTGGCAACTCGAAATTGCGACCAAGTTGATGAGTCTTTCCCCATTTCGGTTGTCTTTGCCGCCTCGCTGGAACCACACAAAGCGGCTGCCGCAGGAATAGAAGTTGACGCTGTTAGCGAACTTGAAGCTCGGCCAGGACATTGATGTCCCGACTCATTGCTTTGTTTGGATTATGAAATTTAAACACAAAACCTCATTCCTCTTGTTGGATGTTGTTTTCCTTGTTTGGTGTTTAATGGCACATTTTGCGGTTTTCCTGAATGACAGCCATACACCCAAACAGTCACATTGCCGACTCTTGTTGTGCTCTCCTTAAATTTAATGTATTTCCTTTTTAATTACAAAC